GTGAGTGAGTGAGTGAGTGAGTGAGTGAGTGAGTGTGTGAGTGTGTGTGTGTGTGTGTGTGTGTGTGTGTGAGAGTGAGTGAGTGAGTGAGTGAGTGAGTGAGTGAGTGAGTGAGTGAGTGAGTGAGTGAGTGAGTGAGTGAGTGAGTGTGTGTGTGTGTGTGTGAGAGAGTGAGTGAGTGAGTGAGTGAGTGAGTGAGTGTGTGACTCACGTCGTCTCGTTCGGTGCGATAGGGGTTGACGAAGTCTGCAGATTTCTCAGTGATCCCCAGCTCCTGTGACATCTGCAGCAAAGGCACACACAGCGTTAAAGCTCATTTACCGTGCTTCGCTCTACTTCCTGTGATGATGATGACTATGATGATAATCCCATGATGCCTCAGTCTGACCAGCGTGAGCACGTGCTGATGGGCTCCTCCGCTGAAGACGCCCGTCTGGTTGCAGAAACGCAGACCCCAGCGCAGCAGGCCACTCCAGTCCACGTTCTGATCGTAGTAGTGATGGACGATGCGCGGGAAACGCAGAGCCACGTCACCGAAGAACGCCGTGTTCTCCACCACGTGAGAGTAGGCTAGAGGAACACACAGACTCTGAACTCAACTCACTTTAACAGTGACAGATCATCTGCTGCAGAAACTACTGCTGGCTAAACCTGAAGAAGCTTGTGACGGTGATATGCTTCTGTTTCTCTAAAGCTGCTGTGAAGTGTCTCTACTGTATACAGTGCTGTAGAAATAAACATGAACGGACTAAAAGTGTTTTGTATGGAAGCCTACTTATGCCACATTACAAAACTCAGTTATGAGATTAAAGAGTCATATTTTGAGATAAAATGTCTAAATTATGACATGAATTGAAATTGTGAAATTCAAAATGGACAAATCAAAATTAATAAACAAAAAAATGAAAATTCGATATTTCATAAAAAGTAAAAAAAAACTGAAATTATGAGAAGAACTCGTACTTATGAAAAAGTCTAAATTCTAACATTAAGTTATAGTTATGCGATAATTATCTGAATTATGAGAAAATTCATTCAAGTTCATCTCATGATATCAACTTTAAGACTTTTTACCTTAATTTTGTCATTATGATAAAATTGACATTTCATATAGTATACAATTATAAAAAAGTTTAAATGAAAACATGAAAATGGGATTAAAAGTCAAAATGGACAATTGTGTAATTATGAGAAAAAGTAAAAATTATGACAGTCAAAAATATAACACTCAATTAAAAAAAATATATATATATATATATAAGTAAAAATAAAAAATTAACAAAAAGTGAACATTAACAAAACATTTTAAAATTTTGTGTCATAATAAAGACATTGTATCTCAGGATTTTGACTTTTTATGTCATAATTATGACTTTTTATCCTAATATGTTATAATTATGATTCATCGTGTGACAGTAATGGGCATCCGCTCACACACACGCACACGCACACACACTCACTCA